GTAATCCTAAAAAAGTAAAGAAGAAAAGCACAAAAAAGGCAGTCATTTACATGTGCATATGGTTGTATTGTACCCAAAGATAAGAACAGCTCAGCATAGAAAGATTTTTTAGGCACACTCTTTGGGAGAATTTCTCCACTTTCCAACTTTGGTAAATCATCTACCTTTTATCCCCTAATTTCAGACACATTCTTAAACCAATTTGTATATTTTTTCCTCCTCTCAGTCCTTTATAGTCGCCTCTAGCAGGCGATAAATTGGCTTGATTTGAATTATCTTAGGGATTGCAGAAAATTCTAATTCTTGCGAGTTTATCGGTAGTAGAGACGATTATAAAGGGTTGGGAGGTGTCTAAAATATACAGATTTATTAAAAAAATATGTCTAGAATTATGGGGGGAAAGGTAGATGATTTATCAGTGTAAATGGGAAGTGGAGAAATTCTTCCAAACAGTGCCTAGAAATCTTCCGCCCCAAATTGCACATTTTTTTTGCATTTCGGGATCTGTAGCATCACGGTCAAAGACTAATACATGTATATAAATCCATAACCTACATTTTAGCAGCTAGTTTTGCACAGGTTTTATCTTTTATAAAAAGTATCAATTATATGCAAACCCACACCCAAGAAAAAAAAACATCTATGGCCTTAATTATTATGCCCTCCTTCGAAAAAAGGAGAGCATATTATGGCTTTGCTGCTGTTTGTCGGTCCACTAAGTTTCTGTTCATTTTCTTCACAGCCATTACGCATACTGAAATGAAATTTGGTATACAGATTTATCATAAGAATATCTAGGTCAAGTTTTGTTTTCGGTACGATCGAGCTTTTTTGGCAGACTTTTGCACCCTTGACTTAGAAAAATTCCAATCAACATTATCATTATGAAATTTTTCATTTTCTTCGCAGCAATCTTAACACTGTGTATCGTGAAAGGCTTTGCTTTCCACATATTAAAATGAAAATCTCCATCATTCATATTGGTTTTTCAGATATTTTGGTAATGAACCAGTTTCAACATTCGTGTACTTCGTCTTCATAATTTTTAACATAGACCGCTTGAAAGCAGTTTTCAGCCAAGTTTACGAATATTTTTTCTTCAAAAGTGAATTTCTCTGAGATGTAGGAAAAAAAACACGCCGGTCGATGTACGAGTGTGGGATAGGGAAATTCATCCGAGGGGAACAAGATTCACGGTCTAGGACGAGACTGTGCCGAGGTAAAAATTGCAGGTTCTTCGAATGACCCGAAAACTCAAGAAAGAGTTTATATTTTTTTTCAAAAACAAAACCTACAAAAATACCTTTGTCAAACAAAGATTACAAAATGTAACATAAATTAATCTTCAAATTATTATCCCCTCGCGCAACTAGTTGCGCAGGGGATATAGCATCGCGAATGTGTGTGTGTTAGTGTGTTTGTTACAGCTTGTGGGCAAGATTTACAGAGAATCTTAGCATTGCCCACTCTCAGCCTTTACATGCTTGTGTGGCATTATAAAAGGACGAAGCCTATTCATTTTCAAAAGATATCATTGACATGGTGGCCATCTCATAGGGCCCCGCTTTTAGCAATGAACATGAAAACGTAACGTAGCTGAAAAGGGTTTATTTTGAAGGTGTTTGAGATTAAAGGGGACAAAAAGAATTACTCCCTGAAAAATAATACAATTAAAAAACTTTTAGAAATGTATCCTCTATGAAAATTGTTGCATATCCTCTATGATAATATGGAAGTAAAATCACAAATGTTCCATATCCAGTCAAAGGAGAGAGAAGATATGATCCGGACAAGGTTTTTTCATATACAAATAATTTCGCTATGACCTTGACCTTCGACCCAGAAACATGGTTCAAGATCACTGCACAACGGTTACCCAAAGGAACTCTGTGGGTGAAGTATGAGAGAGATTGGGCCATGGAGAGAGAAGATATGTTCCGGGCAAGGATTTTTCATATAATTCTGCTAAGACCTTGACCTTTGACCGAGAAACATGGTTCAAGGTCACTGCACATTGGTAACCCAAAGGCACTCTGAGGGTGAAGTATGAGCCAGATTGGGCCAAGGAGAGAGATGATATTATCCGGACAAGAGATCTCGGACGGACAGCTGGACGGACGGACAGAGTGATCATTATATATAGGGAGCCCGCCGAGCGGGGCCCTAATTAATCGATGGAATATTTCTTAAGATATTGCATTTTTACTACCTTCTAACCATGAAATTTTATGAACGACTTGACAAATACCACTTCCGTTTAATCAACAAGGTAAATTCGGGTCGCTTCGATAGACCACTCGCTCAGCAAGTTTTACTTCGTACATGTATTTGCGCAATGTCATATAATTGTGCGTACTTTGAGACAGTCTGTATGAAGTAACATGTCATCTCGGACGCTAAGTAATTGAAGGAAGCATATGGAGATAACGAACAGTATTCAGTATCAAAGTCAAAGTAATAATTTGATGAACGTCGCGGTTTTATTACCAAATTCCAACAGGTGTATGGGAATTTGAGGTGCACGTTATTCTTGAAAGCTGTAAATACAATATACAAGTTCAATTGACCTCTCCATGTACATTGTTATTCTTCATTACGGAAAAAAATGCATATTGCCTGGAACTGTGAGATATACTTTGGTAGGTAAATTACTGAAACTTATACATGTAGCATACGTGATATGTTTCTGCTGGGTATAAGGGAAACTGCCCAATTACGTATGCATGTTATGCCCCTCTCCTTACTAAAATGCTATGCAATTTGTTTTCTCTTAAAAATAGACCCCCACCCCGATAATTTTGTTTAAAAAATAAATAGTGCTGAAAACATTTAATTTTCTTCACCTTGTAATATGCTCTACGGTGCGACCGTTGGGGCGAGCGCAGTTATTTACTATCAAAAACCTTTACACAGCTTTTTCTTGCCCTGCCTATCCTCAGTTCATCAAAAAAGAAGAAATCACTTCCCAGACATCGGGATCGAGATTCCGAACTTTTCAGAAGTTTCCGACAAAATCGGAAATACCTGAGCTGTTTAGGTTACGAAAGTATGACGTCAAATAAAATGTCCTGTTGACTTAGAACGCAAACGATAGTTCTGCGGCATGGAAATTGCATTAAATCGTTGTTTGTAATTTTTTCAAGTTAGTTGTTGATTTGTTTTAGCCACCATGTTGCTATGCACCGCATAGGATTATTGGGTGTTTGGAATTTTTTCACGTGGTACGATAAAAATTTCTTGGAACAATGTGCAGATTTCAACCCGTTTCCTCCGTTTGTACACGTTAGTCTATTGAGCTCGCTCTGCGAGCGGCGCCTCGCTGCGCTCCCTATTGAACTTTACTACCCCAAATTAGGTATCAATGTTATGCCCTCCCCCTAACCAAGACGCTATGCACTTTGCATTTTGTAAAAAATGGATCAACAACAACAACACCCCCTTAATAATTTTGTCAACAGTACGGGAGTTGATCCTAACGTTGCGGGTTCAAATCCCACTGTGGGACGTGGAGACTGGTCCTTCGAATGAGACCGTGTAAACCAAGGTCCATGTCCCAATATAATAAATGCTGGAGAAAAAAGATCCCTCACTGCTCAATGGTCGTCAGTGCCTATCAGGTGCGTAGCATCGTTTTAGAAAGTGGGGGGGGGGGCAGTCAAAGAATTTTTTTTTATACTTACCTGAAAAAGTTGACAAGCAAAAAAAAGGGGGGGGGGAAGTTGCCCAAGTTGAAAATCTTTACAATTTTATATAACTGAGTTTTTAACCGATTTTCCAATTGATAGGTAGGTTGACGACGTTATAGTGTGTTTTTTTTTTCGTTATGATATACATACGCTCTTGAAGAAAGGGGTAAAAAAATGCTATTAAATAAAAAGTAATAAACGTGCGCTCTTTAAATTTAAAACATATAAATTTGAGAATCTCTCCATTATTCATGTTGTTTGTTTATATAATACCTTTGTACCCGTCATATTTTGTAGTACTCTATTAAAACAAGAAAATTCGTTATTTTTCGGCCTTCTGAGATGCCCTCTCTGGTAACAAGACGGTAGAATTTTATGTTTCTCACACATAATCTACAATGTAGTATTACTCATCATATATTATAGTTTGAGCAAAAGGCTATTGTAGTATTTGTATAATTTGCTTTTAAATCCTATAGTAAATGCACCTATATTTTGAGACGGTTTCTTACAAATACCTAGATTTCGCCCAGACTTTGCATGTACACTAAAGGTAGCAATACCACATGAATTTTTTCACCTCCTCTAAAATAGTTTTTCTGCATGTATATTTCATAAGTTGGTCAAATAAAACTTATTACAATTTATTTGAATTTAATAACTTAAAAAAAATTACAAAGTTATGGGTATGTGAACATTTGAAATATTTGTAACCAATTAAGCCGGATTTAGAAAAGGAGAAAAAAAGTAACCAATGTCTATAACTTTTTTGTTTATGGATGTTTCTTCTTCAAATTTTCAGGATTTGTTCATTGTAAGCTCAAAGAAAAAATCAATAAAGTATGATTCTATCATGATATATATATATATGAGTCTATAAATGACATTATTAAGCTAATTAGCTAATGCTTCGTCGCGAAGATTGTCCACTTATATTCCATTTTCCCCTAAATATTAGTCAATGGTACTTTAATCTTCTTTCTGTTTGTTTTATTTACACTCAGACCATACAATGGTGTATGAGGTACAGAAACATATTTACATATACACAAAATACAAAGTCAAGTAAGGAAGAGTTGTGTCAATTTAAGAAAATAGTTACTAAAACCAGGCCAATATGAAACATTAATGAAACTTAATGTTAAAATTTTCCTTTTAATACACAACCTCTTTAAAAGTGCAATGTTAATTAATTTCCTGTTTAAAACGTGCAATGCTAATTAATTTCTTGTAACAAAAGAAGTATAATAACATACATATATAAAACCATAGCAAATTTTTAATGAATAAAATTATTTTTTAATGCTTACCAAGTCAAGGTAATTCTAAAATTATGGAAGAAACCAGAAATGTGTCTATAGATATCTGCAACCATGGAAAAATTAGGGTACCTACAAGTAAAAAAAAGTATTTATAACTTGAAATAAAATTGAAATTTTAATGTATGGATCAACTTTCATTAAACATGCTTTCAATAATTTTTTTTTCGAATACAATTCTAATTTTAAAAATAAGATATCTCATTATTGACATAAAAACAATATATTAGAATTTTAAATCAAATGAAAAAAATATATAAATAAACTTATTATAGGCATAATAATAAATTAGCCATATAAAAGAGAAGAGGGAACAGGAGACACTCTTTTTTTTAATGTTAATTTTCTCTTTCTGGAGATGTAAATTATAGATTTTTAGTAATGAAAACTTGTCATTTGAGGAAACATTCTATAAAAACTCACTACCTGTGAGGACATGCAATAATAAAACAAATTTAAAACGCTGAAACTTTTTAACCGAAGATCCTTACACATAAAAAAGGGACTTGACTTTGCCATATATATGTATATCTAAAAAAAAAAGTCTATAAAATCCCCATGAACATTTAATAAAAAAGTAAATTTGAAATATGTATATCTTTATCTGTTAATCATGATGTGCCTGTTGCACTATGAAAAGACAAGTTTAAATTCCCCTTTTCTGTAATAAACTAACAAGTTATAAGCATAAATGGCTTCATCATTTTCATATTTGATGTTGTACCATGTTGGAAAACCGGGTACAACTCAAAGGACTTTTCCCTTGTAATTTTGTTTGTCTGCGAATGTGTGTTCCACTAGTTTTCCAACGAGAAGGGTTGCATCTGAATATTTTATTTCACTATAGTGTGAATACTTGCTGCAGATGCTATTAACAGCAAAATATATTTCTTTAAGTCTTGGACAGATAGTTTTTCATATTTACCATGATCTAGTTTCTTTTTTCATAAGTTAAATATTTTGCTATCCTTGTGCTTCTGTTTCAAGACATTCTTTCGGAATTTCAATTGTGCTTGTAAAGCATTAATCAATTCCTTCTCGTTCCTTATTCTCCCCATGCCTTCTTCTACTTGTTGTTCACTCTGCCAGTCCATAATAACAAACATCGTTGGTCATCTCTTCTGCTCTTCTTATTCTCTCATTCTCCAGCCTCTCCAGTTCCATTTGTTTCCTTCTCTGCGCTTCCAATCTTTTATTTTCAATCTCTATTAACCGGTCTTTGAAAAATTTCCTAATTTCTCATCCTCCTTGAATTCTCAATGATTTTCTCCCTTTCATCTGTTGGTAACTTCCTCAACCATTCACTCGTTTTGTTGAAGGCATACATAGGCTTCATTCGCATGTACAGATGCATTTGAACGAAAAGAGAGATGATCTAACTGTCCGAAAATAAATTCAGGAAGTTTCATCACCGAGCTTGTTTGTTTCCGGACTGTGGCTGAGGTTTCCCAGAATTGTCCCTCCGGTAATTGTTCAGGAATCATTCTTTTTAACAATTCCTTGATAGCTCTGAAAAGAGTCTGTAAAAGTGGAAGATAAATTGGTTCAAGCTTTTCATCTTTTTTTATAAGTTTACTTAAAACTTTACCGTTTTCATCCACAGGAGTTGGGAAAGTCATTGAGCTTCCACGAAGAAAGTCATTAGCAACATCTTCCTCTGCTGAAGCTGTATCCAGGTATTGAACAAGGGTCTGGTAGTTGATATTTATGTCCAAAATATGTCCCGGACTCTCAATGAGTGGCCATAATCGAGCGGTCACAAATTTTGACAGCAAACCAAGTATTCTGGCCCCAGCAAGGTACAAGGGTTCTTTTGAATCGCATTTGACTGCTTTCAATAAATCATTTGTCGTACCGTGTACATTACTCAGAAAATGGTGGATATCTTCATGGTGGTAAAACACAGATTGTCCAATCATAAAAATCATGTTGAATCGGTTATGTTTAACCCTTTGAATGTATTTTTTTTCTTTTCTCCTTTGGAATTTAAGTATGCTTTCCATGGAAGGAAAACACCATTTTTTTCATCCTCTCCCATCGCGAACGCTTTGCTGCTTATTCTCTAGAGACGGAGAGTGCCACTTTCTGCCTTGTGGTACCGTTGCAATTCTGGCTTTTGTGCAGACCCAATCAATTTTCCATCTAAATATTCTATTTCAATTTTTTTTTTATGGCAGCTTCACAAACATCAGCTATGCCTATAAGCAGATGTAATCCACAGTAAAAATTATTAATTTGACTACACAATTGTTGTTCATTGTCAGTAAGACTGTTGAAATTTAGCTGTATTTCTGGGAAAATTTCATTCTTGTATTTCTGCAACAATTAATAAAAAAAATTTTCCGTACTGCCTCTATCTGACATCGTGTTGCGGATGTTTGTTAATAACTCTATTCCAACAGTAAATCTCACATGTTCTTCTTGCTTATCCTGTATTTTACAATATGAGTCTATATCTCCCAGTATTTCTTTCAATGTGTCTGAAGTGCAAGCGCACTTGCCACTCTTATTGACCATTTCCCTTAGGACTAGTGGGTAAGAATTTCTGTCCATGTCAGTAATGAGATATGTTTGATAAGTATGCCCATACTTGCCAGTTTCATCTGTGTAAAGAATAGTATAGGATTTTGAGGCAGCCACTTCTCCCAAGTGCTTCTGGGATATTGCGAGTTTTCTATCATTAAATTATCTTCAGCTGAGCGTGAAGGAAGTTTATTAGATATTTTCTCACATAAACCTGCAACCTTTTTGATGACTGGTCCAACATTTCTAGATGCAATTTTTAAGTTAGTCAAATTCATTGCACACTCAACAAGTTCTGGAGTAAATTTGTTCTCTTCAGGATCAGAAAGATACAAGACTGCATCATTCTCTAGAACTCCTTGTAAATAGTCATTTGATATTGAAAGTTCCTTAAGTTTTTCCTGTGAATGATTTTTTTGGCTATTGCAACATCATATTTCTCTTCTAATTGGTTCACAGTACTTTGTAGTTTCTCAACTGTATATTCTGTTGCTTCCAATTTCTTGGAAATGAATCGAACTTTTCTGTTGGAATCTACCAGTGAAATTAAATGTTGTTTGTTTCTAATCTTTTCTTTCTCTAGTAATTTATTTTTTGAAACTAGTTTCTTCTCCATTTTGATAACAGCTTTTTTACTTTGATCTTCCTTTGCTATCTTTGCTTTACTGACTTCCATTCGCTTCTCCTTCCTTTCTAGTTTTATTTCTTAAATGCTTGTTTTTTTCTGTCAATTCAATTACCTTTGTTTTTTTCTTTCCTGTAGTTTCTCTGTGAGGGAACTTTATTTAACCTCAGCCTTTTCTTCACTTTCTTTAGAATGTGCACACCTTTGTGCAGACATCCTCATATTGTCCATTGTTACTGGAATCTCAAATTCTTCTTTTCTATACTGTTCTCGTAAATTACCCTATTTTCTTTTTATCGGCACCAACCACTCTGTGTATTTTGGATAGACACGCTTCAGCATTTACATTTTCTATTCCAGCAATTTTTACAAGTTTGTGCACAATTTCCATGTATTCCATTTGTTTGGATTTTCCAAAATTGAAAATTTCTATAACAGCACCTTTTGTTATTTTATGAGAAAATTGGACACTAGGTTCCGAAAATATAGAAGAAAGGTCCGGTCCTATATCTTTGCACTAAGACATTTTGAAATTTATAGTAAATGTTCGAACTTAGTCCCAATATAGTTCCAAATACATGCGTTTGTGTTTTTTTTTTCATTTACATTTACAACTTCCACTAAAGTGTCTTCATAAAAAATTATACAACTTGTATTTGTACATGTAGCAAAAGGAGCTTGTAAAAACTGTTTGAGTTGACTTGCCTTTTTTTTGTAGATTTTCTCCTTTTGAACAGGCTTTCGGATTGTTCTATGTCCGAGTCGGGTGTTGTTGGATTTCCAACAGCCAAGAAATGATTTATCTGCAAAAAAATATTTGCAAGTCATAAATATTTCAAAGAAATTCACCTTCCATTTAAAATACATAATTGTCATCAGTTTTTATGCTTTTACGATAAAATTGTTTCAACATATCATACTTGTCTCTTCCTTGGCTTTGCCGCTGGGTCACTTGGCTTCCTTGGGCTTTCGACAGTTATTGAACTTGCAGGGGAGCTTATGTCTTGACTATATGTGAAATCTTGTGTTGATCCCGAAGGACCCTGAGTTGCATCCAAATCAAGTGACCCCTGCAGAAAGCCAACAAATTGCTTAAAATATGTATGCAACACATGGAATAATTACACATGTATATTTTTTATTCATGACAATAAATCATAAACCATTTACTCAAGCTAATATGTGTAGTACTAGTATTTGTAAACATGATATTCAAAAAATGAAATCAGAATAGTTCTACTGGAGTATATACTGAATAATTAACTACTAAGATATCTATAATATAAAACAAATATTTCATTTTTTCAAATTACCTGTGAGTCAGTCTCACTTTCTGCATCTGTAAATAGTAGTTGGGAATATTCGTCCACTTATAAGAAATAATTTCGAATTTGACTTCAATTGTGATAAATTCATGTATACATATAGTATACTTGCTTACAAGCCTTGAATTATTGAAGTTTCCACTTCTATAAGACTTCTTAATTGTTTGCAGTCATTGATTTGCACATATTTTGTTGTTATCAGCGTTAACTACAAGGATGGAGTTATCGTTCTTGGAACTTCCGTGGCTATACGAAAAAGCGTCTTTTCCCAACTATTACGCTTCATTCTATGACAAACTTGTTTTCATATGTTCACTTAGGTATGTAAACAACATTTTGATGTGCATTACGTATGCGTATTTACCTTACAAGTAAAAACCAGAAGTCTGTCGAGACTGAAGCTCTACTGGTTTGTACTTATAGCAAAGGAAGAGAAAAGTACTTAAGCAGTTGGGAATTGAAACTTTACAACAGCAATAAATAGAACTAGTGCTAATTGTAACGGGGACCGTTACAGATGTTCCCCAAACGCTCCCCAACTCCCTTTTGGTGCCATATTCCCTGTAATCTTCATTAAATAAGACAAACTCTATGCATTTGAGACTTTAACAACGTTTACCCGGAAGTGTACCAAGTTCATTCAAATTTAAACATTGCACGCGTGCGCATGTGAATACATGTGCGTAATGACCATATCATCTTGTCTACACAATCTATATATTTTAATATACTAAATATTAAAGTATTTAATCAAAAGGTATTTAAGAAATACGCTCATTCAAGTGTATTTTTTATTTTACTCTTTTCACGTGCACGCACGTGCATACATGAGCATGGTGACCATACCTTCTTGTAGAAGTCCATTACATCTATCTATGTTCTAAATCCCTCCCCGTTTGGTTGTAAACCAAGGGAGTTATAACTGTTTAAAGTTTAAGCCAATCAGATTGCAGCGCACGTACACGCACGTGTATGCATGTGCATGTGACCATATCTTCTTGTAGAAGTCTGTTATATCTATCTATGTTCTAATTCCCATCCTGTTTGGTTGAAAACCAAGGGAGTTATAGCTATTTAAAGGTTCAGCCAATCAGATTGCAGCGCACATGCATGCACGTGTTTTCATGATAATTGCTATATATTATGTTGTAGGATATCCTAATGCATGGCTTTGTTCAAAATTTCAAAGGATTTTGTCAATAAACAAGAAAGATATTGAGACTTTAGTTTCAGCCAATCAGAGCAAAGCGCACGTGCATGCGCGTGAGATCTTGCTATTTTGACTATGCGATATTGTTTATACTTCTAATATATTCTTATATTATGAGTTTTAAAGCAGTTCATCAAAAATGTAAAAAGTTACGCCTATATCAATTAAATCGGTCATTTCACGTGTTGCACGTGCACGCTCTTGCAAGCACGTGCGCGCAAAATGACCTTGATTCCGCAAATCTACATAACATGTCTACTTATCCTAAAAAGGTTTTACCTACATCAGACGAACAGTTTACAAGATCATTCCCGGACAAAAAAGTACCCAGGAAGAAGAAGAAAAATAATAATAATAACTAGTGCTAATTGTAACGGGGACCGTTACAGATGTTCCCCAAACGCTCCCCAACTCCCTTTTGGTGCCATATTCCCTGTAAGCTTCATGAAATAGGACAAAATCTATGCATTTGAGACTTTAACAACGCCAAGTTCATTCAAATTTTAGCATTGCACGCGTGCGCATGTGAATGCATGTGCATAATGACCGTATCATCTTGTCTACACAATCTATATATTTTAATATACTAAATATCTAAGTATTTAATCCAAAAGTATTAAAAAATACGCTCATTCAAGTGTATTTTTGATTTAACTCATTTCACGTGCACGCACGTGCATACATGAGCATGGTGACCATATCTTCTTGTAGAAGTCCATTACATCTATCTATGTTCTAAATCCCATCCTGTTTGGTTTAAAAGCAAGGGAGTTATAGCTATTTAAAGTTTAAGCCAATCAGATTGCAGCGCACGTGCATGCACGTGTTTTCATGATAATTGCTATATGTCATGTTTTAGGATATCCTACTGCATGACTATGTTAAAAATTTCAAAGGATTTCATCAAAAAACAAGAAAGATATTGAGACTTTAGTTTCAGCCAATCAGAGCGAAGCGCACGTGCATGCGCGTGAGATTTTGCTATTTTGACCATGTCATATTGTCTATACTACTAATATATCCTTATATTATGAGTTTCAAAACATTTCATCAAAAATAGAAAAGATTCGGCTATATCCGTTATATTGGTCATTTCACGTGTTGCGCGTGCACGCTCTTGCAAGCACGTGCACGCAAAATGACCTTCGTTCCGCAAATCTACATAACATGCCTACTGACCCTAAAAAGGTTTCACCTAAGTCGGATGTGTAGTTTACAAGATCATTCGCGGAAAAGATTTTCCCAGGAAGAAGAAAAATAATAATAATAATAATAAGAAACAGAGTAAAAACAATATGTTCCCCAACTTCGTTTGGGGAACATAACTAGAAAAGAAACTCGTTGCGAGCAACGAGAGGTCTTCCGTCCGATTCCGGAAGGAAAACGACAAATCGAGCTAAAAAAAGATTTGCACACAAGGGGGATTGAACCCAAGTAGAATGAATTTCCAACGCATTAAAGCTTACTCTATTTTGACCTCTACTCTTAACCTGCTTGTATATATTTACGAAACAGTGCTTATGTCTTCATATTATGAAAGGTAAGTCACTTTTCAAAATTCAGCGACAAACACAACGAGTTAATCTTCGCGACTTTTCTTTGGAATGCTCTATCAAATAGGTGTGTTAGCTTCAATGAAGTTATAAAAAGAACGTTCTTATAGCCTATTTGAGGTTTAGAAAGTATATATAACACATTTTAACAAATTCCATATTATATATATGCATTTAACACTAAAAGGGTGAAACCTTTATGAATTTTTAACTTTTTTTCAATTTCCTTTGATCCCCAAATGTTTCGCCGAAAAACATGGCTCGCCCTACGACAGTCAAGGAATCAGATATCATTCTTGCTCAATAACCTGAATCAGGTCTCTTAGAAAAGAATGCTAAAATAAACTCCATGAAGCAATCTTTAAAATTTTGTCTCATTTATTAGTTGCATTAAAGATAAAAGATGTCGAAATTCATTTGCACAGTAAGTCTTTTCTTTTTCTACTTTGAAAATCAGCCGAAACCAATTATAGAAGACGTTAGTTTGACACTAAACTACAACGTAACTACGACGTGACAATCCAAGTATTCCTTTACATTTCATTTATCCTTATATTACTTTCGTTCAAGCAAACGCTCGGCTGCCTCCTCAAACCCCTATTGCGAAATGTCGGAGTTGACAGATAGAGCCGCCATTTTGGATCCGCTTCAGATTTTTAAATGCTCATTTCTAGAGTTTTGATTTATCAACATTCAAACAAATTGTACTATTAGCATTATAAGGAGAGTTTCTATCAACATACCAAAAATAAATGAAAAAGATTGAAAAACAAAAAAGTTAGAAAATACGATTTTTTTCAATTTGCATCTCGTAACGACCGGAAGTATTGACGACGCACGAAAAGGCGATTCTGCAAACCACAAAGTCATGATCTATTATCTCCAATAAGTCTCCAGTTCATATTCTCTGCCATTTTTGATAAAAGTGCGCGACAAAATCGCATTTTAAAATCAGGAAATCGTCCATAACTTGGCACCGGAAGCGAATTTTCCAAAAACAACTACTGACTGCACAACTTCATGTAAAGACGCATATTTTGTGAAAGTTTCGTTAAAAACCGCTGAATAGTTTTCGAGAAATCGCGTGCACAAAATTTTGTCAAAAAAAAGAATAATAATAATAATAATAAGAAACAATACAATCACTATAAGGTCTTCCGTGAAGACGGAAGACCTTAATAACTAGATGCGATCTCGTTGCAAGCAACGAGTAGGTCTTCCGTCGGAATTTTCGATAAGATGAGATATGACTTTGACTATGATCTTTGATAAAACATCATGGAATCATGCCTTTTCTCTTTTGATTAAATCCTTTTGATTTAGATAATATCATCAATGCGTACTTAATTTGCACATTAATTCTTTTCTTTTTTTCTACTTTGAGAAACAACCAAAGCCAATTAAAGAAAACTTGTAAGGAGACCTTGGATTATGAATGTAGTTTGACACAGAATTGCAACGAACCTACGACGTGACAATCCAAGTATCCCTACACGTTTCATTGCTCCTTATGTTACTTTCGTTCAAGCAAACGCTCGGCTGCCTCTGTTAACCGCTATCGCGAAATGTCGGAATTGAGAGAGACCGCCGCCATTTGGTCCCGCTTCAGATTTTTGAATGTTAATATCTCGAGTTTGAATTTATAAATTTACAAACGAATTATATATTCAGCCTAATAAGAAATGTTTCTATCAACTATACTAATATAATTTGAAAATATTGAAAAACAAAAAAGTTAAAGACGAGAGACTTTTGGCCCCTCTATGCCCCTAACTTGAAGGACTAACCCCGTTTACTTGATATCAAATGAAAGGTCTTACTATATTGCACATTTTTTATTATATATGTCTTAACAAAATATTAACAGGTTAAAAGATATAAAAGAAAACGTGTCAATTTTTGCGAGATTAGTATGAGGCTATTTTTCGAGCCCAGGCGAGGATGATTCCACATGAGTTTCATCTTTCCTGGCCCAGTGGTTCTTGAGAAGAAGATTTTTAAAGATTTTTCCTATATATTCCTATGTAAAACTTTGATCGGCCATTTTGGCCCCGCCTTACCCCCGGGGGTCATGACTTGAACAAACTTAAATCTACACTACCTGAGAATGATTCCACATGAGTTCCATCTTTCCTGGCCCATTAGTTCTTGAGAAGAAGATTTTTAAAGATTTTTCCTATATATTCCTATGTAAAACTTTGATCGGCCATTTTGGCCCCGCCCTACCTCCGGGGGTCACGACTTGAACAAACTTGAATCTACACTACCTGAGGATGATTCC